TAAAATGTGACCAGGACCTGCATAACTAATACAGTATACCAGTTAATTCATCTGTATTTGACATATGGAATTATTTCAGGTAAGTAAAATGTGGCCAGGGCCTGCATAACTAATGCAGTATACCAGTTAATTCATCTGTATTTGACATATGGAATTATTTCAGGTGAGTAAAAATGTGGTCAAGTCCTGCATAACTAATTCAGTATACCAGTTAATTCGTCTTTACTTGACATATGGAAATATTTTGGAAAGGTATCATGTGACCAGATTGTCTGATGTGCGGCCCATTATTGCATGATAACTGAGTCACCCAGCCCTCTGAGCTATATTTACCAGCAGTATTGTGCTCTGACAATTTGTAGTTGTATCTTCACATTAATGACGATGAAAGTAAATCACTTATATTTATATTTATATTTTCCAGGCATAGGATATGGATTGGCTCTGACACCGACCATGGCGATTACCGCAAGCTATTTCAAGAGATATTATGCCCTTGCTAATGGGATTGTATTTACTGGAGTAGGAATAGGATGGATTGCGTTACCACCACTTTATCAAACAGGAATACAAGTATTTGGATGGAGAGGATCCATACTGATTTTGGCTGCAGTGACGTTAAATATTTGTGTTTGTGCATGTGTGCTTCGCCCGCCTCCAATGAGAATAGTCTCTGTATCAAAGAACAGTCTGATGGACAGTGACAGTGATGTTCAGCTTCACACGACCGATCCCTTACTGGAACATGCAAGAAATACCGAAAAAATCCAACATAAAATAAATGATACGTCAATCAAAAACAGCAACAGATGTTGCCAATTTATGACTGGCATATTTAATCCTAAGCTTTTTCGTGATCCACTGTTCTTTCTACAAATGATGGTCTTTTTCCTCATAGGAGTCGGATTTTATCCAACCATTCTGCTTTCAGTGCCACGTGCAGTTTCCTATGGAATACCTTATCCATGGCCAACTGTTGTGATGACTGCATGGGGAGTGACAAGTGTAATAGGAAGAGCCACTCATGGTGTGATCATAGATTGTAAAATTCTTACAGCATGGCAAGCAGCGGGTCTGATGCTTATCGTTTGTGGACTAGTTAATATTTTCAGCTTTCCAGCAACAACTTTTTTAAGCTTAGTATTTTTGTACAGCATCTTTGGTTTTGCTAATGGTGTATGGCACCCCCTTACTGTGGCCACAGTCAAAGAGTTTGTTGGCATACTGAAGTTTCAAAAAGCATTGGGATTTTGTAATATGTGTCTCGGTATCTCCGCTTTGATTGGACCACCTGTTGCTGGTAGGTATTAATTTGTTATTGTAAGATTTTAATGATGATATTGTCAACATAACAGAGACGTTGACATTTTTTTATTTATATAAATATTTATAATTTTCAATGGCAGTTCAATGCCACCAGCAAATTAGCGGGCGCAGCGTGAAATGGAGGCGTCTGTAGAAATGCTTTTGGCCAATTCTCTAAATATAATTGTACAATATAAACTTGTCATAAACACAATTACAGCCGCAATCGGCATCAGTGGGGTCCAAATGGAAGCAGCTTATTGTGTGGCCTGATTATGTTTATGTGAATATTAGCAAATTTGAAGTCAAGTGACAGGTTGTTTTGTTGCACAGTTCCATTCGTGAGCCACCACTGCATGCAACTATAGTGAAGTTATTACATTTAGGTAGACTCTATACACTTGGTATTTTTTCACGTAACTAATTATCATTATTTTATTTTTCTCGTGAAATGTTTGATTAAAGTATGCATGAGAAACGAATGTCTAATGTTTGAACATTGTTGCTGAAAACAATGTGAAACAAATGTCCCATATTGTAGCAATTTTTGCCAGAAATCCAAGATGGCGGCAAAACTGTGTGATTAATGTTATATGCAAAATCGAATCAGATTGAATAAAGCACTCATGAGAAACTAATGGCCCAAATTGCAATCAATCCAAGATAACTGATCTAAATTATATTTTGTAAAAAGTTATGTGAAATATAAACTTGGTTGAAATATCCATGAGAACGCCTAAATATCAGGTAAAAAGATGTCAGCGAAACATGTCACATGACTGACCCAAGCTAGTTCAGAAGAGAGATGCAACATGGCAAATTTCAAAGAAAAAGGATAAGTGTGGCACTAGTAAAAAATACTTGTTTAGAAGAAATCATAGATGCTAAAAAAAGCATGTTCCCAATCATCAAAATGTCCTTCATACAAAAATGCTAAAAATCCAATTTCATGTGAATATGATCAGCAGTTCTGGAGATTTTTTCTTGCCAAGTTTTGGGAATTACTGCTATTCATGATATATAATGCCTAAATTCAGATAGGATTGAAAATGATCACTTCGAGTTTAAGCCAATATGGTTGCAAATCCAGTTGACTAATCAAAAAAATACGTGCATCAGTTTACATTAAGACAGATCATTACAGAAAAGTTGAAACTATACTGTTCAGCGGTATGACGAAAAAGTGTTTTGAAGGATAATAATAGGGCTGCAACGCCTGGAAGGCTGGGACCCTAAATATTTATAATCTCAAACAGGAGTTACACAATGTATTACAGCGGTGAAATGATGTAGGCTGTTCTAACTTATTTCTAATTTATATATGAGCACTTCACGGGGGCGGTTGACACAACTGTAGTGTCCATAACAAGTAGAACCCTCTTTATTGATGAATGACTGTCTTCTTTTGTGAGTCTTATTAAAGGATGAATGTGTGGGAGCTGGAAAACCAGTACACCCAGCGTAGGCGGCTCCCCATTATAGGAGAGAAGCGTTGGTGGGCTAAGGATGTTGCCTTGCTTAGAACAATGTGTCCACATTGATGTCCTCAGAACACTGGAACACTGAAGGGACGGAAAACCTGAAAACATCAGTGCGCGTCAAAGCAGAAGGGTACTTGGAGTCTTTGATGAGGTATGGGAATGTGCTTAATGCTCAGCTTATACTTTGGATTTTTCAAGTTACCACACCTCTCTCAAATACTTACATACGACTGAAGCATCACTAAACAGGGAATCAAGCTACTGATGGTTTTGTTCAGTTTGCAAATGCAAAACTGACTGAAGGGGAATGTAACCCGGATGTTGAAGAAATGCTTCTATAAAAACGGACTAAAAAGGAGAAGGTGGTGGCTGGTGAATTGGCAATTGATCAGGTTTTCCTAAATGCCAGCATTGCCTATGAGACAATTGCTCATAACCAGATCATGGACACTATTACTAAGAGCATCCACAGGTGCTTTTCAAACCATGAAGCCCTCTCTCTGTACAGACTGACCTGAAGTTTCTTTATCAGGTTTACCTGATACTTGACTTATGGAGTTGAGCAAATGTTTCCTCAAGTTTGATAACATGGCAACTATTGTCATTGTACAAAATGAACTGAAACGCCTGGCAGTCCAGTGGCTACGCTTTTACAGTCTGTGTACATTCGAGGAGTACAACGTAAGGAGAGTATTGACCCAGATTTGCTGATAGTGGTGACAGAAATCTTAAACACCATCTGCATGTCATGTAAATATTGTCCCGCATGCTGTTATTAGTTTAATGTACAACCTCTTAACTGGTACTTATTACATCCTTTGGTTAGGTTATAAGTTTCTCCTCACCCTACCAGTGATCCCAGACGTTTGTGAGTTTGAGTTTAAGGAGCAGCACTTCTCAGTAACACCTTGAGGCCGTCATGTTAAACAAAGTGGTAGAAAACAATGACCTTCTGAAGAAATTTCTTCCCCATTACTAATTGTTCCAAACTTTAATAGCCAACATCTAGAATAACTGCTCAGTGTAATTATTGTTGGCAAGTCAGTTACAAATAGAAGCATAGAAGTGACTGTAATATGGCTGTATAAAAGACAATGTCTAGATGTTCATTTTTATTTAGAAGATGCAAGTGATGCTCAGTCGTTCTAAGAGTTAGAGTTCATGAATAAACAATCATAAATAGTTAGTCTGTGTGGGTTCTGTTATGACAGACAATATACCACTCTAGCACTGATGTCCTGCCAGATTTCCTGGTGGGCATGTTGGTGGGAATGCAGTTGACCAGCTAATCAATTGTTTCACTAAGTGCAAACAGACAACCAATGAGCGGACATCTTTTAATATAGTTCCAATGTAATTCATTCTATTAATAGTTTTGTTTCAGTTTGAATGGGAACTGGTTTGTTGTTCTGATAGTATCAAAACTTCTATTAGACTAAACATAGCTCAATATGATCGCCATACTGCCCATGTGTATATTTGGTGGTAAACCATGTGACTTTGACTGTAATGATGTTACGATAATGGCAATTAGACCTAAAATACATAAATGTTCTTTTGTTGCCATATGAATAAATAGGGAAAAAATAAAACATGTACTGCAAATTATTAACTATTAAATTTTTGACATACTGTATTTGTGCTATTTGAAAAATAGTTTTCAATAACTATATTTGAAAGGTCGCAGGAGTATTACTGCATGTGCTTTTAATATAATATAATATACATGTGTTGTATTTTGACTTCCAACACATATGACCGTATAATTATATTGTTATACAATGAACTTTCCTTGATTTTAGGATCCATATACGATATTACTGGTAACTATTACAACTCGTTTCTATTTGCTGGCTGCTCATTGTGCGCTGCTGGTGTTTTGGAACTTGTCGGTCCTATATATCTTCAGAGATTCCATGGGCTCATCCCTGATTGCAAACAACATATGGTAGAAACAACAACACAAACATCTGACAAATATGCAACTGACATAGCGATAGGACCAGGAAATAGAAGAATTTGACCATTTCTGAGTTAGAAAACTATAAAATAACCATATCAACAAAGTGCTACAGTCATGTTGAAATATTATCTTTTATATGTCTCATATTGAATAAGAAATCTTTAGAAAATATTGTACATGTGGCAGACCGATTAATCATTGGACAGTATTTCATATGTCACATATCGAATAATAAATCGTTGAAAATCTTTTATATATGTTCCATATCAAATAATAAATCGCTGGACAATGTCTTATATATCCCATATCAAATAATAAATCGTTGAAAATGTTTCATATGTCACATATCGAATAATAAATCGTTGAAAATGTTTCATATGTCACATATCGAATAATAAATCGTTGATTTTTTTTATATGTGTTCCATATCAGATAATAAATCGTTGGACAATGTTTTATATATCCCAAATCAAATAATAAATCGTTGGACAATGTTTTATATATCCCAAATCAAATAATAAATCGTTGGACAATGTTTTATATATCCCAAATCAAATAATAAATCGTTGGACAATGTTTTATATATCCCAAATCAAATAATAAATCGTTGGACAATGTTTTATATATCCCAAATCAAATAATAAATCGTTGGACAATGTTTTATATATCCCAAATCAAATAATAAATCATTGAACAATGTTTTATATATCCCATATCAAATAATAAATCGTTGGACAATGTTTTATATGTCCCATATCAAATAATAAATCGTTGGACAATGTTTTATATGTCCCATATCAAATAATAAATCGTTGGACAATGTTTTATATGTCCCATATCAAATAATAAATCGTTGGACAATGTTTTATATATCCCATATCAAATAATAAATCGTTGGACAATGTTTTATGTCCCATATCAAATAATAAATCATTGAACAATGTTTTATGTCCCATATCAAATAATAAATCGTTAGACAATGTTTTATGTCCCATATCAAATAATAAATCGTTGAACAATGTTTTATATGTCCCATATCAAATAATAAATCATTGAACAATGTTTTATGTCCCATATCAAATAATAAATCGTTAGACAATGTTTTATGTCCCATATCAAATAATAAATCGTTAGACAATGTTTTATATGTCCCATATCAAATAATAAATTGTTGGACACTGTTTTATGTCCCATATCAAATAAAATATCGTTGGACATTGTTTTATATGTCCTATATCAAATGTGTCTTTAAACGTATGAGTCCACAAATCTGGTGTAGTTCACGTAATCGCGTATCAAACGACGTACACGTATGGTGCACGCGTAGTACGAAAGGACACTGTTTTCGCGTTCGTCGCGATATTTTTTGACAACCACTAAATATTTCCATGACTTGACGGGAAATGTTGAATTGTTCGAGTTATGGACATCGAGTTACAGAAATGACCACGCCCATGTTTTTAAAACCGCGCCCAAATTGTAACTCGATGTTCAGGTCAGGTTTTTGTTGAACCTTGAATAACAGTTAATCAAACATCGAGTTACGGGCAACATATATTTTTTGTTCTGTTTAACTTTCAAATTTTGTAATTCGAACTTTAAATAACAGTTATTCAAACTTCGAATTAGTAACTCCAAATTTAATTAACAGTTAACCGAAGTTCGAGTTACGGCAATGTGGTCCTTGGCTAATGACGGCCAAGTAAATTTCTAATATTTTCTGGAATCTAACATTTTGGTTTTTGGTGTAATTTCAATTGATGGATTGGCGGCAAGAAATAACTATTTGAAGTTTAGCTGTAGTTTTCAATGTTATGCTTGTAGTGGCAACATCGCCCTTTCGAAACTAGGATTTTGAAATGAACACCGAAAATAAAAATCCTATTTTCACTGTCAGGCTTTTCATTTCGAAATCAACAATTTAGCCAGTCAGTTATCTTCCTACGCTTCGTATACACGATGATCTCGTGGGTGACCTGCATTGTACACTATAGAACAGTAACATTTTTCATTGTTTGTAACGAAAATGTCTGTCTGGGAATTCTGAGGCAGAATATGGGCGTGGTCGTTTCTGTAACTCAGTATTTTCGTAACTCGGTCTTCGTAATTCGAACAATTCAGCACCTCCCCAAACAGCGGTGGTCGTCGCGAAGCTCGTTTGACTTTTAACATAAACGCATGCGCACAATCGCTAACATGGAGCAACGGATGATTATTTTTTTTAGTCACGTTGTGTGATACGTCAGAAAGTGAACATGTTTGGTAGATTATGCGCCATTCATTCGGGAGCTTCAAATACGTGGCAATAATTATTAACCAGATGGGCGTTCATGGGAGCATAGACCAATGGTACGACTCTGTCTTTGTAATGTATTATTACATAAATACTTGTACGGGCATGGGGTAGTTCTGATTGTTCCATCTAAATAAATATTGTGACACTTTCCCAAGCAATATGCTTCGTGAATTCACCTATAACTAAAGATAATTAAAAACTTGTGTTTACATTACGCAATGAAGGTCCCCAGGGAATTTATTCTATAAATATCATTATTATTTGGCCATCAGCCAATGATTGAAGGTCTACAAATTATTCGGCTGTTTATGAAATATTATTTGTTTGTTTTTCTGAAGCACAATACATATAAACCATTTTCGTTGTGGGCAAATATTTTGAGAGTGTAGCTTTACTTAATCTCCTTCTCGGGTGTGTCATAAAGCCTAGCTACTACCAGCGATGGCTTTATTTTGAAACAATCATAAAACCACACCGATATTTATTTTCACGGCAAACTTTCTGTCGAAAGCACCCGGTGCACACACGCCTACCAAAATAGAAAAAGAAACACATTTGTTCTCATAACCTCGTACTCAGACATAATCTACACAACCACCAAGCTTCCAATGTATGAATATGCAACCAATACGATTAAAATAGGCGGCGAACAATATTTCTGTGGTTGAAATGACGTTATAATCATTTGCTGTTATTATTATCAAACTAAATACTAAATACGTCTGCGCGTTTGGTTATTGTACGTTAAATTCTTGTCGGCAGTTATTTTTAACGATTTAAATCAACTCTGGTTAACCTGTAATTACTGGCATAACTATTATAAGAAACAACTTACTCGATGTTAGTGAAAATCTATACAAATGGTTATCAAGCTTGAAGTCGGAAATCTGGGTAAATTATGATGTTCTGCTTGATATCAGCAATATTGGGAAGGACCAAGGGCGGATAACAGGTTACAGGAATTAAAATGAAAGCTCATTTACAGTAAAAAAAAAAAGCTTTTCACTTTACAGATAAAGCAAATTCCTAATTACATTTTTTTGATATTTATTCGATCTGTTTGTGTTTAAGAATAACAATTGGAAATTACATACGAATTACAACATTTAATGTGGAAAATAGAAAATACGCTTACAAAAAAAAACTTTGTACAAATTATGGACGAATACAATAACAGATTACATTTTACACCTTGCCCATTTCTACGAATTTACGTTTTTTATTTATTTAAAATACATTATTACGAAAGTAAAAACAATTGATTACATCTTACGAAAATACCCCTTGCCGACCCTGAATATTGATCGAAGATGTCATTGTTTTGTCTGCACCGTGACACTGATCAAGATTAGAAATTCGATACATTAACTGTATTTGAAAATGTGCGTTGATGACTGTGGAAAGTAAAATCTGAGAAACTCATTGAATCGGTTAACACATTTATTATCGGAACCAATGAGGAAATCGACAATGATGTTTTAACTAAACAGTGAGCGAATTCTTTTCGCACAATTTCACGCCGACCACTTATCCAACCTCTGAAGCAACAAACATTATGTTGACGTGGATGGTAGATATAATCATCAATGTTAACGACGATTAGATTATTGTGTCTATTGTCTGAGGAATATAAACACAAATCGGCTGATGATTCGGGTTGTCGGTATTTGGCAATGTTAGCCCATCCACTCAACCATCTACTGGAAAAAAATGTGCCCTGGAAATGGATAGATGAGTTCGATGCTTCCTTTTGATCACTGAAAGATGAACTGAGTTCAGCCCATGTCTTAGTTCATTACAGTGAGAATTTGCCATTGAAATTAGCTTGTGATGCCTCACCATATGGTGTGGGGGCTGTTATATCGCATGTTATAAATGGCGAAGAAAGACCCATCGCTTTTGCGTCTAGAACACTTTCACAGTCGGAGAAAAAATATTCCCAAATAGAAAAAGAAGCACTCGTATTAGTGTTTGGAGTTAAAAAATTTCACCAATATCTTTATGGTAGAGAATTTGTTCTAATTACAGATCATCAACCATTAATTAAAATCTTTGACTGAAATTCCCGCGTTAGCAGTCGCTAGATTACAACGGTGGGCTATTCAACTTTCGGCCTATAATTACACCATTGAATACAAATCAACTGCGAAAAATGCAAATGCAGATGCATTATCACGGTTACCACTAAATATGTACTGCAACTCAAAATTGTCAGAGTCAAGCATGTTGAACATTCAGCAAATTGAATTGTTACCAGTTACTGAAAAACAACAGTCTACCAGATCAGATCCAATTTTGTCTAAAGTACGACATTTTACACAGAATGGTTGGTCAAATAGAGTTAGTGAAGAATTGCAACCATATTTTAGAAGGAAATACGAATTGACTGTGGAAACTAATTGTTTGTTCTGGGGTATTCGGGTAGTAATCCCAACAAAATTTCATCATCGCGTGTTAGAAGAACTCCATCAAGGTCACCTTGAAATTGTAAAGATGAAATCGATTGCAAGAATACATGTTTGGTGGACAGGTATTGATAGAGACATTGAAGAGTTAGTAAAAGGATGTTCTGCTTGTCAAGTTGTCAGAAACAACCCACCGGCACAACCTTTGCATCCATGGAATTGGCCTACTAAAGTGTGGCAAAGAATTCACGTTGATTTTGCTGGGCCATTCATGGGAATGATGTATTTGATAGTTGTTGATGCGTCTTCAAAATGGCCAGAAGTAATTCCAATGACAACAACAACATCGACAAAAACTA